AGTGAGATTTCAGGACAGTGATTAAATAGGACACAAAATTGGGAGCATGAGGATAGCTATTCATTTAAATATATTCTGGAAATATCTCTATTCTGATAAAAGAGTCTTGATCTGAAAATGCAGAACATTTCAACTACTGTGTCAAAGTTTTTCTATTTGAATTCCAAGAATCTGAGCTCTGTATGCTAAATCGGATGGGAGGGAGCCTGAGTCATAGTTTTCAAATTTGTGATTTGTTTAATCAAAACTGAAGATGAGAAAGGGGAAAATGAGTACTTAATGCGTGCATAAAATTTTTATGTCAATGGTAGTTTATGGTGGTGATAGTTAATGAAAGTCTATTTTCACTCCTAAAGAAGGGATAGGTGTAATAAAGTGTATTTAAATCAATAAAAAGACATGTAATGCTATGATCAATAAAATTATGCTTTTAAGCATCTTGTTAGTACAATATAGAGAGTGACCTTTAAAACCCACCCAAGTGCAAATAAAAACAAGGAACTCCTTAGACTGAGTAATTGTGCAAACAGGTAAAAGCAAATTATATCAACCAATTTTGTTTGTAGCTTTCAATTAAAAAAGAATATAATTACAAAAACATATCTATATATTTATACTTTTAGGAAAATATAATTTGTTTATATAAATTTAAAATTTACACCTCCTAATTTTCTATCAAATATAATACTTTTACAACTAAATTTTTTATATTAGTCTCACATTTGTTTATTGTAGAATCAAAGCACAGTAGATTGTTCCTATAATTATATACTTGAATATACAGATCATATAAGACTTTAAGGCTAAAGATACTTGCGGTTAATCAAAAAAATTAAGCATTTTTGTGTTATGGACCATTTTACTGGTCTCATAAAATGTATGAAATAGTTATCAGAAAATTGCTTTTAAATGCATAAAGTGCATTGGATGATATAGGATAGCTACCATATTGAATTACAACAATAGAAGTTCTGATACAGTGATATATGTGTTTACCAATACATTAGCTGGAAAAAATACATTTAGAATATAAATAATATTAGATTTCATTTTATGAAGTCATTGTCTGAGATGGGTGTTGTTGCTCAGCTTGAATAAAGACCACTAAACTGTGCTGGTCTTTGACAACATGTCATTCATTCATGCTATGCTGGAATTCCACTGGATTCTGATATTTTTGCTACAATTATAGAAGTGTTGAAATTTCCATTCATGATGATATTTTATTGCAAATATGATTTTTTTAATTAAACAAGGCAAGTATAGGCTTCTCTAAACACCAGGACACCCCACCCCCCTGGTGTTCTCAGCAGCATTCCATGGGGGAGAATTATTATTCAAGGTGGAGTTTCCAGGTATCTGAGGAAGCTTCAGGGCTGGGAAGGCTGTGGGTGCTTCAGCCATGCTGGTGCAGCCACTTTGATTGCCACTTTTTGTTCAGGGTGGTGAAGAGTGCAGGCCATGTTCAAGGTATTTGAATCTATAAACTGTATTTTGTTGCTCCTGGTGGAAAAGTTGCATATGCTGTTGAGGCAACCATGTAGCGTTAATGATTTTCATACTGAAGAATGCCAAAGTTCAGTTAAATCTTGGCGAAGTGAAGATACAATTTTTTCCCATCTGAGCTCACAGACTCAGTACTCTATCTACAGATCCCTCTGGGTGGATGGGTCTTGGGATACAAATACTAACTAGACAACTGAAATAGACAGAAGCAATAATTGCAGATACTAAAGCAATCTCAAGCTGAAAGAGGAAAAAAGAACCATCGTGGTTCTACTTGCTTATCTAAAAGCCAGGCTTGGGATTCCATGGCTGTTTCTACCTGACCATGGAGGAAGTCAGAGGGAAAGGTCTAACTTCTGTCATCCCAAGTCGCAAGATCAGCAGGGCCTTGTCACGAGATGACAACAAGGTCTGACCTTGACATGTATACCTTAGCAGCCAGGATACTGTCTCACTGGGTCACAGACCAAAACTTCATGTAGGTCAATTCCCCAAGCTCCAGCTATAATCTAAGCAAGCTGCTCTCTGTTGAATGGCAGCCCTGGGGTGAGCTCTCCTTGCCCCTGGAGTCATAGCATCTTCCTATCCCCTCCTGAGTCTCACACCCACACCTCTCAGGCAGGAGATTGAGGACTTGAGGAGAGAAAACCTAACACTGACTGACCCATGAATGGACACCACATAAGCGGGCTCCTGCATGCCTCTAGCCCACATGCATCTTCTCATTCTCTGTCTTTCCCTCCCCTTCCCATTCCCCAGACTAAAACTGAGTCCTCTTTCCCCACAAGGTTAAAGCTCACCTCCAAAGCAACCCCCAAATTGAAGGTTCCTTCAACTACAAATTTACCCGCTGCCTCTGTGAAGATAATCCAGTAACCTTCTTCTGGGACTTTCAGACCAACAGTAAGTATAAGTGTAGTCCAAGGAAGGTGTTATTTTCCCACCAGTGAGGAAGACCAGGAATAAATGTTCAGCATAAGCTCTAGGGGGAGGAATGGAGGGGTGGGTGGGAAGGAGGACCCCAGGGGGAGTCCATGGGGACAAAGCCCAAGCTCTAAAATGGAAACACTGCATGAGAAAAACTAAGAAGGGAAATCAATTTGCAAATGATTTGGAGAAAATGATCTTTGTCCTCATCTCTTCCAGGGACTGCAAAAATTGCAATAGTGGTTGACATAATTAATGAGAAAAATATCTGTGTTGAAGATATTTCAGTGACTCCCAATGAAGCAAACCGATATTATACCCTGCGTACCCTGTTCATAGGTTAATGAAACCCCTTCTGTGTCCACCAGCACCCATGTGGTTTTCTCCAAGTAAGCTTGGCTGGGGTTCCTGTTGAGGTCTGTAAAATAAACTGTTCAAGCTTCTCCATGTTTTGTTGTGTCTTTCCTCCAAAATTTATCCTGAAAATCCCAGAATACCCTAAGTTTCTAGAATCTTAACCTTTCAAAGAAACTTTATTAAGGAAATTCATAGTTCTCACCACCCCATACCCTTTGGAATAAAGAAGGGGAAAAAGAAGAAGCAGGGAAGAAAAGAGCCATTCTCACAGAGAGGAAAGGCAGTAACCCCCAAACTCAGAACCAATGGAAGGCAGAGACAGGATGGGCAGCCAGGACTCCCTGCTTCTTGGTCTTCCTCACCCCATGGCCTCTAGGTCTGCCTTGAGATTCCAGGGGATGGGACTTATGCTGCATGTGGTGAAGCCAGGGTTCTTTTCATCCAGTGACAAAGGACTATGACACTCAGGGACACTGGGTTCCTGTGTGGCCCGCCTGAGGAGCTGAGACATAATACAGGAGGCTGGAACAGAACAAAGGAAGTCCCAAGCAGCTTCATCAGAGAGGGCCACCAAGTGCTTCCTGAGAGAAGAAGGGGAATGTGAGCAAGTTCTGGGGCACATAGTGGGCAGAGGGCACTCTGGCAGATGGAACAACAACTCACCAAAGTATGAAATGGTGGCATGTTCTGGGCAGGTAGCACTTTGAAATCAGGCAGGATTGAGTGAAAGCAAGAGGGCTAGAGTGGGTTGTGCTGAGGGAGAGCTGGAGAATCAGGAGAGACTGAGTGTGTCTGAGCAAGAACGTGGGCCTCGTTTTCCAGGCCAGGGCTCCCAAACAGATATCAGAATTCAGGACAGGAAAATACCATTTCGTATATTAATCAGAACAGTGAAATTGATTATATGCTGAACAAGTATAAAAATATGCTGAATATTAATATTTATGGGCTTTATCAAATGCCCTGTTAAAACTCATCACACAAAATAAGTATTTAGTTACTTAGTAAATATTTATCAATCATCTGCATGTGACATATCGTCCTATAGGTGCTTGGTTACAGAAGTGATTCAGCAGCCCCAGGAAAAGCGAGGCGCTAAGCAACTCAGTGAGAATCTGTCTCTAAATAAAATACAAAATAGGACTGGGGATGTGGCTCGGTGGCCAAGTAGTGCCCCTGAGTTAAATCCCTAGTACCAAAAAAAAGAAGTAAATCAGGAATTTTTTATCTCAGTCTTATGAAACTTACATTCTGCCCGAGAGGTGGAAAACAAAGAAATATTATTTATACCTTTATTTATGGGAAAACTGAAATGAGAGGACCCGAGTGATTTTCACAGGGCCAGCAAGTGACAGAGCCAGGGTTTGAACCCTCTAGGCAACCTGACGGGGACCATACTGCTGACTTCCCTGCCCATTTGGGCCCTATGAGGATGGCTGCAGGTGGCATCTAACGCTGCAAACTTCAGTCACATTCTCTGCACAACTGTACCCCCTGCAGTTCCTTCATCTTCTGATGTACCTAGAATTTTGGATTGTCTAGAGTAGGACTGCCCAATAGAATATATATACACACACACACACACACACACACACATATATATATATATAAAATATATTTAAGCTGTAGATGGAATTTTGGAATTTTTAGAGAGCCACATTTTTTCAAAAAGCAAAAAAAAAATAGGTGAAATTAAGTCAATAATATATTTGATTTACCTAAAAATATATTCTGAATATTATTTCAGGATGTAACTAATATAAAGAAATCATTAATGAGATGTTTTCAGTTCTTTGATTCTTATTAACTCTGAAATTGGCTGAGTGGTTTACACTTACAACACACCCAAGGACTAGCTCACTTGTCAGGACTCAGGGGTCTCCAGTGGCCTGTGGCTACCAGCTTAGACAGTGCAGTTGGTAAATATTTCCGAGGTCTTGGCAGGTTCTGTTGGCCTCAGACTTCCCCATGCACAAGCACTGGAACTCCACTTTCACTTCTCATTACCACCACTATCCTTGGACTATTGAACAAATGGAACCTCCTCCCTCTTCTTCCCTTCTCTGAAAACATCTTCTCTGCTGACATTTTCTGACTTACCTTCTTCCTTTCACCAGACTGTTGGTTACATTAGTCATCTTTGTGACTTGACATTTTTTAATACTTAGCTGAAGCACTGTTTTGAGTTTCAAAGGCAATTGACAGTCTGCTTAGTGCTGGTGGACATCTCTCAGAGGAAATGGCTAGGGATGTGCAGGTGAAGACACTAGTTGGTCCAGTGGCTTGGGTGGTGACCAGTGGCCAGCAGACATAAATATAAACCTGAGAAGCTTCTGTAAAATCAGTCAGGCATGTCTGGGAATTTTATATGTAATCATAGTATGAAGAGGGAGGATGTCATTCAATAACTGAAAAACCTCTTAATTTACCCTATTGTGAAAAATTCAAACCCCAGAAATGGCCAACACATTACTTCCACAGACAGGAGGATGAGCTTTTTTAGTAAACCCATGACATCTTGGGTTTCCATGACCAACTTCACAAACTATAATTAAGTTCTAAAAGAATAAAAGTAGATTTATTTGGAAGGCAGTCTCATCATGGTCTGCCAGGCAACAAAAGGGCAGAATCTTGACCCAGCCAAGTGGTATCCTGTCCCCTTCATTGGGAGTCAGGAGTCAAGAGTCAGGAAGGAACCTAGAAAACATGGATTTTCTCACACAACTGTAGATCTATGAGGATATATATCCAAAGAAGGAAAAAAGAAAAGGTTTGCAGAGTCAGAATAGGGAAATTTTCTTCTTGATTTCCTGAGTCTGGTTTATTTCATTTAGCATTTTATCTTCCAGTTCCATTCATTTACCAGAAATTAAAATATATTCTTTCTTCTTTATGGCTGCATAAAACTCCATTGTTTCAAAAGTAATCTCTATTTATTATACGAAGTTTAATATCTTGCACAAAACTCATCTCAAAATAAATCAAAGACCTGGGAATTAGACCAGAAACCCTGCACCTGCCAGAAGACAATGTAAGCCCAACACTCCAACATGCTGGCCTAACAACCAACTTTCTTAACAAGACCCTAAAGCACAATCAGTAAAATCAAAAATCAACAAATGGGATAAATTAAACTAAAAGGCTTCTTCACAGCAACATAAATAGTAAGAATGTGAAGAGAGAGCCTACAGAATGAAAGAAAATCTTTGCCACCTGCACCTCAGATAGGGTGTAAACATCTAGGATATACAAAGAACTCAAAAACACTTAACACCCCAAAAGTAAATAACCCAAGCAATAAATGGACCAAAAAACTAAACAGACCCTTCTCAAAATAACAAATAAGTGAAAAAACGGTTGACATCTCTAGCGGATAGAGAAATGAAAATTTAAACTACACTAAGATTTCATCTCACTGCAGTCAGAAAGGCAATTATCAAAAATACAAGTAACAGTATATCTTGGTAGTCTCATACATTGTTAGTGGGACTGCAAACTGATGCAACCACTCTGGGAAACAGTATGGAGATTCCTGCAAAAACTAGGAATACAATCACCATTTGACCCAGTGATCCCACTCCCCAGTCTCCATCCAAATGATTTAAAATCAGCCTACTACAGTGATACAGACACATGGATTTTTTTAGCAGCTCAATTCACAAGGCTAAGCTATGGAACCAACCTAGGTGCCCTTCAACTGATTATGGATAAAGAAAAACTGGTATATATACACAATGAAGTATTGTGGAATATTACTCAACCATACAGAAGAATGAGTTTATGACATTTACCAGTGGATCTAGGGACTAACATACTAAGTGAAAAAAAAAAAAAAACCAATTCCAAAATACCAAAGGTTGAATGTTTTCTCTCAAGGGAAGGGAAGGGCATAGAATTATATGTACGAATTCCCTACAGTGAATCTCACCATCAAGTACATCCACAAGAAATCAATTTTAAAAAATAATTATGGGTAAATGGCAGTAAGATCAATAGAGGGAAGACATCAGGGATAAGAAAAGGAAAGGGGAAGGAGAAGTATTGGGGTCTAAACTAGAATAATGTATAGTCCATGCTTGTATAATTATATCTAAATGGATTGTATGTCATGTAAAACTAAAAAGAACCAATAATTTTTTAAAAAAACTTTATTATGGGTATATAGCTCATTTTTTATCCATTCATATGTAGATAGGCACCTTGTGTGGTTCCATAATTTGACTATTGTGTATTGTGATGCTATAAACATTGGTATGCAAGTAACCCTATAGTGCTGATTTTAGTTTTTTTGTTGTTGTTGTTATATTCTGAGGAGTGGGACAGCTGGATCCTATGATGGCTCCATTCCTAGTTTTTTGAGGAATCTCCATACTGCTTTCTAGAGTGGTGGTACTAATGTTCCTTTTACCCCACAACCTTGCCATTATTTATTATTCTTTATATTCTTAATAATTGTCATTGTGACTGGAGTGATGAGAAATCTCAATGTAGTTTTGATTTGTATCTCCCCTGTTGGTAAGATACTCAACATTTGTGTGTGTGTGTGTGTGTGTGT